AACCCGATGCGGGGCTCGATCCCAGGACCCTGGGATTATGACCTGAGCTGAAGACAGAGGCTTAACCCACTGAGCCACCCAGGCGCCCCACAGTCTACATTTTTAATAAGATCTCCAGGTGCTTCTCAAGCACATTCAAGTCTTGACTTCAACTAACAGTAAAAGATTTGCAATCCATGAGCAAGGGGCAACAAGAAGCCAGGTCCAGGAAGCAGGAGCAAGTGGAGGATGAGACACTGGTCCTAGGGTCTGCAGAGCCAGAGGAATAACAAAGCCGGGGACTATTCTACTCACCTCTCCTCTGCCACAAGCCCATCTCCAGCCCTTGCATACTGGGTGGCTCCTCTTACCCAGCCCAGCTCTTCACATCTTGGCATCCTTCCTTTGCTGTTTCTTCCTCTGGGAGTGCCCCTCCTCTCTGGTCTGTTCAGCAACCTCCTAGTCTTTCTTCAAAACTCTGCTGCCTGGGTGGCTCAGTGGGTTAAAGCCTCTGCCTTTGGCTCAGGTCATGACCCCAAGGTCCTGGGATCGAGACCCCACATTGGGCTCTCTGCTCAGCGGGGAGTCTGCTTCCCCTCTTTCTCTGCCTGCCTCTCTGCCTACTTGTGATCTCTGTCTGTCAAATAAATAAATAAAGTCTTTAAAAAAAAAAATCTGCCACGAACTCACCTCTTCCTTACCTCCTATGTACCCCTTCCCTCTGTGCACCTGTGACACTGGGTACATTCACTCATTTATTTATCAACTCCCCCATTCAACAAACTCAAATATCCACTTAATGTCCCCCATGCACCAGATACCAGGCTAGAAGCTAGAGACTCAACCGCCGATGAAATACAGCTCACCCTCCTCCCATTCTAGATGGGGAGTCAAAGGTATAAACTCCTCTCAACAAGGGGTACAGGAACAAAGGTACACCCAGTATTGCCTGGATATCAGAAAGGATTGTCATTTTTTTGTTTACCTGTCTTGTCTCCCCAACTTAACTACAGCTAAGGACAGGGGGTGGGTCTCATTTTGAGTTTGAGCAGAGCCTCTCCCTTGTCTCTGAGCACATGAGAATAAATAAATCTGGGTAAAGGGCAGAAACTCCATCAGCCTGAACTTACGCAGCCAAGGTGGGGTAGAACCCCAACCGGAAGCCAGGTCCAGCAGCTCCCTGTGCGTGCTGTCCCACGCCATTTCTAGGAATCCCATTAACAAGGGATTGACCCACGTGGAGTCAGATGTTGCAAAAGACACAGAAAAGACCTAAAACAAGGTCTCTAAGAGCTTACGATCTCTGAGAAAATAAAGCCACACACCCATGAGACAACTGGAGAATGTTAGCAGATAAGATCTGGTAAATGAAGACACATTCAGGAAAATGTTAGAGAGAGGACTGAAGCAGAGCCTTGAAAGAATGTTGATTTGGGGGGCGCCTGGGTGGCTCAGTGGGTTAAAGCCTCTGCCTTCTGCTCAGGTCATGATCCCAGGGTCCTGGGATCGAGCTCCGCATCGGGCTCTCTGCTCGGCGGAGAGCCTGCTTCCCCCTCTCTCTGCCTACTTGTGTTCTCTGTCTGTCAAATAAATAGATAGAATCTTTAAAAAAAAAAAAAAAGAATGTTGATTTGAACAGGCAAGAAGGGACAGGAAATTCTAGTCAGGGAAACACCAAGAGCAAAGGCTCAGAAGCAGAAAGGACTTGGGTATATGGAACAGAGGGGTCCTGCCATGGGAAAAAAAAAAAAAGAGAGAGAGAGAGGAATGGATAGGTAGACAACAGTCTCAGAAGGCCATGAACGTAAGATGTGGGGTTCAGACAGGTGCTTTGAAAGTTCTGGGACAGGCCAATCACTGTTGCTCTCATCATCTATAAAATAAGCAAGGTTTAAGGGTTGCCTGGGTGGCTCAGACTGTTAGGTGTCTGCCTTGGGCTCAGGTCATGATCCTGGAGTCCCAGAATCTAGCCCCTCAGCGGCCTCCTTGCTGGGGGTGGGCTGAGGGGGGAGCAATATTTTCTTCTCCTTCTCCCTCTCCTCCTCCCTTGTTTGTGCTTGCTTTCTCTCTCCAATAAATACATAAAATCTTTTTTTTTTTTTTAAGAGAGGTTTTAGCCTTCTGAGAAAACTCTGAGTTCCTTTATTTTTTGGTAAAGAAGACATGTTTTGAGAGCTGAGTTTTACAGAAGTGGTTATGGATTGCCTGATCTCCCTTGAGAAGGACCAGACCACATTCAAGAGCTAGCTGGCCTGGACAGGTCAAGAGTCCTTAGAAACTTTGTTTTTTCTTAAAAAAGGGGATAACTGGTCTGTGTTGGAACAAAATTTGCAAGCTAAGATTTTTTGGCTCTAAGTGACCGAGTTCATTTAGGGGAAGCATGCCCCCTCCCAAACCCACATACACACACGCAAATGTGTGTGCGCACGGCTAGTGTTTTATATGATAAGCTGCCAGTGCAGACATGGAAGCGTGCTGGCCAGCCAAAGGGAGACAAAGCCGGGTGGGAAACCAGGAACAAAGAGTAAAGGGCTGGTGGAAGGCGGCAGCCTTTTCCAGGAGACACATTTTCTCCAGGTCCCCGGGGACAGGCTGAAGTGTTTTCAGTTCCAACAGCCAAGCTCTGAGGCTGCCAACTTCTCCATTATTCATGGGGGGGGCCCCACCCCCTCCCCCTTTCAAGGCCCGATTTCCTTTGGCAAAAGCCTGTATACTTCTGGAAACCTTTGAATGTGGGAGCATCTGGTGTTCCAGGGACTTAAACTAGTGCAAATGTAAGCAACAGAAGCACTAGCTGAAGGCTCGACCACAAGGAGATCCAGCTGGCTGTCTCTAGGAGCTCTCCCACCCGTGGAACGCCCCCCAGCCCCAGCAAAACCCTTCCAGAAGCTCAGCGTCCTAGCTCTCTCTTCCTTTGGGTGGGAAGAGGGATTTAGGTGTGTTGGGTTAAAGGGCTTCCTGCCCATAGAAATAAAAATTAATGAGAGACGGGGACTGAATCACCGTTAGACCAACCCAACTAGGGAAGAACACACTGGAAGGGGCTGGAGGGTCCACACCAGGCACTGGCACCTAAGCGACCCCATGTAGTCCTCACAAAAAGACCCTTTGAGTCTCTATTTTATATATAGGGGAATCAGCCACAAAGAACTGAAGTAAATTTAGCAAAAGGCAGAGCCAGGATTTGAACCAGGCCTGTTTGAACTTGAAGCCCATTCCCTACACCATATTCCTTCATGCTCCTGCATTTAACAGACGACCACCCCTAGGAGAAGAGCATGAAGAAGCAAGCAGATCTTCTCATGGTCCCCACAGGGTTGTTCTGGTATGAGGCAAAATTAATATATGACAGCTGTGATTTCCACTCCCCACCTTGACTTGAGGACTGTGTATCAAAGAAAGGTTTGTGGGGAGGTAGGATTGGGAGAGAGAAGTAAGCTTCCTCTTCCTCCTCCTCCTCAGTTATAGCTGCTCCACCCAGAATGAAAGCCAAACTTTGAATGACTCAAGTTCAAATCTGGACCAGTCCACCCCTGCAGGGGCGGTGCCCACACTTCCCTATCCAAGCACCCCCTGCAGGAGCATTTGGGTAACTGCACAGCCCACCCTCCAGCTCTCACCTTAGTATATTCTCTTTGATCCAGATTACCAGAATTAAAATCCTCATCCATCCACCTAACTCATATCCTCAAAGTCCTCCTCTTCCGCAGATATTTCAGGAAGTAAAAAAGGACCCCTAACCCAGGAAAGCATGTTACTTAACAACCCCCAAATGAAATCACTTCCTTTCCATGAATTCTTAGGATATGAAAATCTTTCTCTCTGTTCTACTTACCATGGCAGTGACCATGTGTCACTTCTCCGGTATGTGTTGGACAGGATGCATGTATTACAAATTATTGACATATTCCTTATTTAGTGTAACAGGTGAGAAGGATGCATTCAATGACTCTCGGCCACAACTGACCAAGAACAGAGGCTATAGGACAGGACTCCAAACAGACACCCAAGAACAGTTGGTAAAAGAGAAAGAAGTAATAATGGGTGTGTCCTGAAGTTTGGAGAGTTAGGAGAATCCTTCAAAAATGTAGCTCCAGGGAGTGCCTGGGTGGCTCAGTTGGTTAAGCATCAGAATCTTGATTTTGGCTCAGGTCATGAACTCAGGGCTGTGAAATCGAGCCCCACACTGGATTCCAAGGGGAGTCTGCTTGAGGTTCTTTCTCTCCTTCTTCCCTCTGCCCCTCCCCAACTCTAAAAGGAAAAAAAAAAAAAAACTCCTCTCGAGATTAGATCAGAAATCCATGCCCTGAATGGCTAAGTGGGTGGGATGGGGGTGCAGAGAATGAGGAAGGGCCTCGGTGGTGGTGAAGAGGAGGTCTGAGCAGAGCCCAGGCTAGAAATGGGAGCTCAGAACCAAAAAGCCTTTATTTATTTTTTCTTGAAGATTTTATTTATTTGAGAGAGAGAGCACAAGAGGGAGGAGAGGCAGAGGGAGAAGCAAACTCCCCCAAGGAACAGGGAGCTCAACACAGGGCCTAATCCCAGGACCCCAGGATCATGACCTGAGCCGAAGGACGATGCTTCACCGACTGAGCCACCCAGACGCCCCAAGAACCAGAGGATCTTTAAAACAAACCTCATTAAATCTTACGATGGTAACCAAAAAGTATAGGAACCTCACCTTTCAGACCAAGAGCGACATCGGAGGCTGTCCACTTTGGCAGCCCGGGAGCACCACTTCTGAAAAAGACTCCACGCTCCAGCTCGGATGCCTCCGGTGAAGCCCAGCGAAGAGCCGTTCGATACCCAGCCAGGCCAGCAGGGCCCGGGCTAAATCCTCCAGCGGTATTCATAGCCCACTCCAACCTGCTCACCAACACACGGTCCCAGGGCCAACACCACCTCCAGTGTGAGTCAAGAACGGCTCTCCTCACTTCGGCTGTCCGAGGCGTTCCTGACTCTAAATTCCTCGCCAAGCCTCTGCTTGCCCTCCAACCCTCCAGCCAGGTATACAAAGAGGATGATTTCCACAAGCCATGTTTATTTAGGGGTAATTTGCCAAAGGAATCATTTGGGTTGGTTTTTGTTTCTGTGATTCTTCCCAGGGACCCCTCCACGAAGAGCACCGTCGAAGCGGAGGATCTGAGGGAACGCTCGAGGCCACCACGGCCACTCGGCCAGGTCCCCAGGGCCAGCGTCCCAGGCCGGAAGGACCGCATCCATGCTTCCCTCTGCCGGGGCCTGTCCCTCCCAAGCTGTCCAGTCTTTCTGCCGGGTTCTGAACCCTCCTTCTTCAGCCCTTTGACCAATGAGGCAAGAGAACAACTCAGGGGGCTGGGGGGGGGGGTCCCGGAAGGACCCGCCGAGTAACTCAGGACACACAGAGGAGTCTCTGCCATTGCTAAGCGCAAAAGGAACTCTCTTTTCTTCTCAAACGTCCGCTCTGGCTTTAGAATTCCCCCAGGTGACGTTTTTCGGGTGGGTTACTGGGTGCCGACCTCACAGAAGGCCAAACTGGGTGCTGTCGGGGGCAGGGGGAGGGGGAGGAAAGAAACAAAGCACACGTGTAAGTATTTCCACCAGAATAGTTGCCAGGTACTGAGCGCTTTCCATCCGTCTGGCCCAATTCTGAATTTCCCAAGCCCTCCTGTGTGAGAGCCTCACCACCTGGGAGGTGGGTACTACGATTCCCATTTTAAGGATGAGGAAACTGAGTGTCAGACAGGTTAAGTTACTGCCTGCGATCATCCAGCGTCAAAGTCACAGAGCCAGGAATCGGGCCCAGGTCTGTCCAACTTCAAAGCTCAAGATGTTAAGCACTGGCTGTCCGGCCCCAGAACAGGGACACAACGCGGTGCCCCTTCCTCTGAAGCAAACGTAATCAATTCAACAACAACAAAATCAAAAGTTTGTTGTCTCCCTGCTCCCTAACCACAGAACGCCTCTTTGCCCGAGATTTCCCGCAGACTGCCCGCGGGCCTGGATTCACCCAGAGGCTTCCTGAATTGGGAATCCGGCCTTTTAAAACAACTTGACCGGCCTCTACAGGACTTAAGAGTCTTGTGGCTTTGGCCTGTCACCACACTCGCTTCACTGGACCCGTTCCCGAACGACAGAAGTGCTCTTTTCCGCAGAGTCTCAAGGAAGCGCCTCCGCCAAACACAGGGAAAGCAGGCCTCACAGGTTTCGGCCACCGGTCCGTGCAGCTGTCAGCAGCGGGTGTCCGAGAGGCCGCACAAGGCCAGGCAGCGCCGGGAGCACCAGTGGTGATCACGGGAGAAGGACGGTGAGGGAAACGGGACTGCACACGACTCCCGAGGGGGGAGACTGTTCCACTAGGTGGAACACCGCCAGGCCCCGATCTTTCTCCGCTGCCATGATGTGTCCTCAGCGCTGGTGTGACGGGAACACACGCAAGCCACCATCCCCCAAATGGAGGAGGCAAGCCTTCCCGAGCCCAGCAGAACACTGCTCCCTGCATGGCCTGGATGCCTATTACCAGCCTACCGATAGCACCGTGCCCACTGCCAGCTCGCTCCTTCTGTCCTTACTCCTGCTCACTACCAGGTGCCTTTTCTAGGTGCTGCACTTCCCGGGAGTGGAGGAAGGAGACAGCAGGAATCCGACTCCATATTATTATATAGAATGCAGCCTTCCTGGCAATCACAGGATGTCAGAACAACATAAGCCACAGAATTTAAAAACTTAAGAACTGGAAGGGACTCTTGGATCAGAAGGAAAGTTGCGACACGATGTCTGTCCAAGGATCTGTGGTACCTTCTCTTTTAGGTTCTGCTTAACCTCTAATGAGGCAGAGGCACTTTGCTTCTCCCTGACAAAGGTGCCTCTTTTCACCACTAAAATCAATCATCGTTAGCCCCAATGACCTTTAAATGCTCAAGACTGGGTATGAAGGCAAGTTGGTGTCACTCTTCTATCCAGCAGACTGTCCGCTTCCCGGACTTCCCTGCTACATAGAAAAGTCTCTGCCCTCAGCAGTCACCTCCCCCAGGGACCCAGCCACGTTGCCACGTCCTTGCCAGCTCCTTTTCCACCCTCTGGACACCTGGCCCAGCTGGGCCCAGAAGCGCTCTCACCATGGTCATGTAGGTGGCCTCTGCTTTTCCACTGGATTCTTCTTCCTCAGCCTGCTCCCGTGTGGCTATTGAAGAGTAAACATGCTTCTGGGGGCGGGGGCGGGGGGAATAGTATAAACATTACTAAAAATCAGTAAATGTTACGTGCCAAAGAAAAAAGCCATCTACAAGTATCCGCAGGGCGTCGACACCAGAGGGCTATTGAGAGCCAGAAAAATGATCATTGATGATGATAACTCAATCCCCAGTCTTCTCAAAAATTAAGAAAATTGGCCAGTCAGCAAAGAGCACTACCTTAAGAACCAAATTCTTTGCTTCAAAAGACAAACCTCTTTGCTTGGACGGGCACTTTAAGGTAGCAGCAGGGAACCCTTGTCTGGCCAGATTACTTGTACTTCATGCTTACTTCCTTCTAATTCAAGGCATGGCAGGATGACGCGGCAATTAACCAGGGCCGGCTCTTCAAGAGGGTCTGTAGGACAGGGACAGCCCTCGCTGGACCCTGTATCTGTGAGGTCACTGGTACACTGTGACTCACATTCCCGTCCCTATCTGGGGAGGTGATGTCATCCAGTGACAAACTCCTGGTCTTCTGGAAGCCCCTGTGCCATGTCGTGACAATCCTACCCTTGGGTCACAAATAGGGCAAAATATGGGAAAGTAAATATTCCAAGAGGAGTTTTTAAAACAAGGGAGGGAGGGAGGAAAGGGAGTTCAAGGAAATGAATTCGTTTCTCAGACCCCAATATAGCTCCATGACAAACCAATATGGAAGAAAAAGTTCTTCCTGATCCTCTTCCTTAGGGTTCCCGAATATTTAATCTGAACCGTTAACTCCTTCCCATAACTCCTAAATGTACCCCAATTCTCCCTTATGCTTCCACAGTGCCCAGAGATCATGAAGCCCTTGCAGAACCTCAGGTTATCTGAACCTTAAAACAGTCAAATATGTTGGTCCTCATCCTCATTTTACTGGGGAGAAAAGTGTGGCTCTGGGAGGTGGCAGAGCTGGGCTTGAACAGGGATTTTTTTTTTTAAGATTTTATTTATTTATTTGTCTGAGAGCAAGCAAGAGAGAGAGAGAAAAAGCAGGGGGAGCAGCAGAGGGAGAGGGAGAGGCAGACTCCCCCACTGAGCAGGGAGCCTGACACAGGACTCGATCCCAGGACCCTGGGATCATGACCTGAGCTGAAGGCAGACACTTAACGGACTGAGCCACCCACACCTGCCATGAACAGGGATTTTTCTGACTCTGAGTCCAGTGCTCTTTCCTGTGGCCCTACCAGGAGGCCCCATGGACCCATCCCACTCCCTCCTCGGGGGCTCTCACTCTGGTGATGAAGGTTTCCCGAGCCCCTCTCCGTGCCCAGCACTGGCCAGCATGCTGAGATGTAACACCAAGTAAGACAGGCCACGGAGAAAGGCAGTGATGCCACCTGGATGATGGAGCCGTATCCGCCCTGCCCTCACAGGGCACAGCAGCAAAACGGAGGTTTGAGTTCTTTCCTTACCTCTGGATCAGCCTTCTTTATGTTCTCCAGGCTTTTTACCAGGTTTGTGGAGGTTACTGAGCTGCAAGGCAGGAAAAGCAGGTGGAATTAACCGGCCGGCACTGTATACGCAAGGGGGCCGGCCTGAGATCCCACCGAGGGGGGACCCCAGAGGAGGAACTCTGCTCTCTGGGCTCCCCAGCTCGCCCTGAAATCTGGGAAGTGCATCTCTATGGCAGAGAGCAGTGAGGCATTCTGGAGGGAGTCTGGGCTCAACAGCTTTGCCTTCTCTATCTCCTAGCTAACATCGTCCTGTCCACACAGTTTTTAGGAATTAATAGTGAGCGCCGCCACAGGATTCCACGTTACCAGAATCCAGAACTGGGGAGGCATATATAGCTGAGCCAGCAGGGGGCAACCGAAGTTCGGTGATGCGGGGGAGACGGCCAAGCAGAAACACCGCCACATCGCCCCCTCCTCCCGGCCCCCACCCCTGCCGCCAGCGCTGGCCCCTTCCCAGCCCTTGGCCTTTGATCTCTTGACCATCTGCCTTCTGCACCTGCCACTGAATATACTTCCTTTTTTCTGTTTTGGCCTAAGGTAGAGCTAAAAAGAAAAAAAAAATGGGGTTGAAGCTAGAAAAGAAACCATATATATGTATTTTTGGTCCCAAAGTGGAAGGAATCGTTTTCTCATACTTTCTCATTATAAGACTGTATGCTCTCATTGTAAAATTAATTCAAATAGTAAAGAAACAGAGAGGGTTGGAGGTTGAAGTCCTGGTAAACCTCCTGCCCTTGTGGGACCTACCTTGTCTTTTCTCTCAAATGGCACTACTGAATTATTCTTTCTCAACACAGGCCTACGTGTGCTCACATAAAATATATCTTTTTGTGTATGCTGCTGCAGCGAGCATTATCTAATTTTCTTTTTTATAAAGATGAGATCCTATTACACACTACACATGGGACACCTTCCCACGTCATTACATCCGGGATCGAGCAGTATGTCCCGGAGTGGAACACTGATTCAGGGAGTCGTTAGCTGACCATCACCGAGGATGATTTCCATGTTTAATTATCATCAGTGCTACAGCAACCGTGTGTACAGATGTTAGTGTACCAGCCTGGTTGCTTCTTTAGGAGAAGCTAGTAGATGTGGAATTACTGATTTCATTGTGAGGGAAACTGAGGCCCAGAGCAGGGAGGTGAATTGATATGGCCATCTACCTCTGGGCTCAGGGCCATCTGCACGCCCAGAGCGAAGACCCTCGGAGAGGCCAGTCAAGTGCAAACCAAGTCAGAGAGGCCCCGGGGAACAGAACTGCAAACCCAGCAGGCCAAGCGCTTTTTGTAGAGTCCATGTCTTGTGGGGAAAGGAGACTCAACGGGCAGCACCTGCAATGGGGGTCTTTGCCCACTGACAGCATTTCGGCAAGAGGGCTGGTTTGCCCCAGCAATGGATCCCATCATCGACGGGTGGGAAAATGGAGGGACACGGGCCTGCTCACCGCCAGTGAAATGCGGCTGCCGCGTCGGGGCATCTGGGCATTTCGGAGATGCTAGGAGAAGGGGTGATGAAACTTAAGAGTTTAACAACATATTTCAACAATAAGTAACTTAGGACCTAAGGGCATCCATTCAAAAATAGCCTCTCAGAATTAGAATGTGGCCCTTTATTTTTTAAGATGTTATTTATTTGAGAGACAGAGAGTGGAAAGTGTGATCGAGGAGAGGAGCAGAGGGAGAGGGACAAGCAGACTCTGCACTGAACATGGAGACCACATGGGGCTTAATACCACGACCCTGAGACCATGACCTGAGCTGAAATCAAGAGTCGGACACTTAGCACACTGAGCCACCCAGGCGCCCTGGAATGTGCTCCTTTAAATAAGCCCCCGATGACCCTCAAGATCCAATCTTCCCTGTGAAGTGGGTATTGTGGATAATTCAAAGACCACTTCTCTCTGGCATTGAACGGCAGCTTATAGCTCTCGTATAAGACTTACACTCTTAATCATGCTCCCCTCAGAACCCTGTTTACAAAAGAGCTGATAATCTCTGTAAAATACCAAAATGAAAGAGGAGGGTGTAAGGCCATGCGAAGTCTTCCTGGAACACAGCGAGTGGAGGGTTGGGGTCACTACAGAGATGACTTCTAACGTGACAACCACGGACGGTTCTATTTAAAGTACCCGCTTCTGTGAGGATGGCACAGCGAGAGCCCTCTCACTCTTCCGCTTCAGGCTCGAAGCACCGCCGGCCTCCTGACCCAGCCCTGTACCTCTTACTCCTGTGGGTCCTCTTCACGATCAGTATCAGAACAGGGAGCAGCAGGATAGTGCCACAGACAATCCCCACGATGATCACCAGTTGATTGCCACCCAGGATCTCAGGTCTGAGGGCTGCTGGGGTCACCGATGCTTGGGAAAGGAGAAGAGCAATGAGAGGGTCTCAATATTCCAAAAAAGAACTGTGAGTCCCACCAGGAATTTGGGGGAGAAGGCCAGACTTTACCCTACGCTGAAACACCGGGACTCCAGCTGTCCCCATTCGATGGAGAACCAAGTCTGGCCACCTTGCTTATCCCTACCTACAGTGTAGATTAAGGTGGGTGGGTGACAGCAGACATTGATACTAACAATTCTACCTTAAAATAAAATAGCAGACGTTTTAGAGGCTTCAGATCTTTCTGTGAGAAAGTGATTGGTTTCAAAAGCCTATATGGGACAACACTCAGACCCACAGTCCTGATACCAGGTGAAGCATTTCTACCCATATGGTACCCTTCATTCATTTCTTCAGTTTACTCTAAATATGTACATAACCACTCCTGGGTGCCAAATATCACTAGGCAAAGAAGCTACAAAGACAAATAAGACATGGTCCCTTCAAGGATGGGGACAAACATGTTGACAGAAAACCACAGACTGCCATAGGGGCCATGACAGAAGTCCATATGGGAAGTCCAAAAGGGTACCCAATTCTACGGGAAACAGATGTTGAGAATTTCTCAACAACAGTGTTAAAGTTTAAAAGTCTTAAGGAAACATCAAGTTTGTTGGGCAGACAATATGGGAAAGGGGGCACATTACACACAAGGTCTGGAGACCCAAGAGGATGGTACTTCCAGAAATCAGAAATAGTTCCGTGGGTCTGGCTCAAAGCTGCATTTGTGGGAAAGGTGGGGAATTAGGCTGGACAGATGGCAGAGTCTCCGTCATGAAGGGCCTTGATTATCCCACCCAGGAGTCTGGCTTTCTTTCTGTAAATGATGGAGAAACCAACCACTGAAAGACTCTGAGCCCCAGGACAGAACGTTGAGATTTGTGATTTAGAGCAACGGCACGGAGAGCTGCAGGGAGAGTGCGAGCGGGGCTGAGAATGAGAGCAGACACCAGCTGGAGGCCTACAGGCCAAGACAGAGAGGAAGACAGCTAGAGTGTTATGCAGGACTGGAAGGGAGGCGTACTCAAAGTCAGTAGTAGAAACGACAGACCTGGTTGACCTGTGAGACTGGGGGTCATGGGAAAGGGAAGAATCAGGTACAACTCCCAGGCATCCAGCTAGGAAACTGTGTAGAGGGTGACGGCGTTGACTGAGGTGGAGGAGACGAGCTGGGGAGAGGAGTGCAGAAGCGGGTTGGGATATGTTGCATATGAAGTGTTTGTGGACTATCTGGCTAGAATTTGGATGGGTACATAGATGGATTAGACAGGAAGGAAGGGAGGAAGGTAGGGGAAGGAGGAAAGAAGGAAGGAACAATGAATCCAACATAGAATATATTGTATATACAGAGAATACAGCGTCCAATACTACTGGGGTAAAGAAGGCCGAGGGCGGGCAGTTAGAGCCACGCTGGTGACCTAAGCTAGAGCAGAGGCGGAAGCAGGAGCCAGGATGCAATGCACGAAGGAATTAATGGGAAGTGAGAGAGGAGGCACCACATATGGTCTCTGAGCAAGCTGCTTGGCTAGGTCAAGACGAAAATCGAGAACTGATTGAAGTGAAGGACACACAACTCTGAATATACTAAAAGTCACCGAGTTGTAGGCTTTAAATGGGTGAATGTATAGGATGTGAGTTGTTCTGTTTTAAGACAACGACGCAGGATAAGAGCTAAAGTAGACAAGGACAGAAGGTGAGAGGAAGAGGTGAGCATATTTATAGGCTAGATGGCAGAAGCCACTAGAAAGCGTTAGTTTCCCGAGACAGGGAGAAAATGCCACGTGAGCACAGAAGTCTGGATGAGCCCGGGGTGGAAGGGAGCCTGGCGTGGTGGGACAGACAGACAGGGGAGGATGAGGGCAGATGGAGGTAGGCCTGGAGAGGGGTGGGCTGGGGGCTTGGAGGTTGAGTGAGCTCCCATTCATGGTGTGTATTTTCCCTGTGAAATGGAAATAAGACTTCTGAGAGTAAAGAAATCCATCTGTCCCACTTCCCCCTCCAGCTGGGACCCTTTGCTGTGTGTGTGTGTGTGTGTGTGTGTGTGTGTGTGTTTTAAAGATTTTATTTATTTGAGATGGAGAGAGAGGGAGCATGAGTAGGAGGGAGGGGCAGACGGAGAAGCAGACGTCCTGCTTAGCAGGGAGCCTGATGCAGAATTTGATCCCAGGACCCTGAGATCACGACCTGAGCCGAAGGCAGCTGCTTAACGGCTGAGCCACCCAGGCGCCACCCTTTGTTATATCTTAAAACGAGGTGCCTCCAGAGACTCAAGTCTCTGGTCAAAGGTACTGAGGTGTGTTCCCTCCTCACCCATATCCCCACCCCCAACAAACCACAGACGGGCTCCAGCAAAAGGCAAAGTCTACAGGCCACATCCTGACTGTTAACTGTGTTACTGTTTAACTTTAAGCCCTCACTTATCAACCTCTCTGGGTCCACACAATTGAGTCTTTATTCTCCGACACACCACCGGCTTTAATGTACAATGTCTGCCAGAATAGAGAAGCTTTCATCAGAGAACACCTCTATTTTGGGTTCTGGTCCCTTCCTGTTTTCTCTCTGCTCTGTTCTGTCTCTCACCAGCTCAGGGTCATTTTCCCTTCTGCTACAGAGTGTACAGCATCCAAGGAAAAAAGACCTTGGACATCAGCACCAATCCATCTCTGAGCTCCTGTATTTTTAAATCAGTATACTAGATCAGCAGGGAGTGAGTTCTGGCAGAAGGCTGGAGTTCACCAAATATTAGCTCCCTTGTCTTTGAGGCACCCGCAGGGCCAGAACTAGAATGAGGCAGGCAAGGTGCCTCGGGCTCCAGATTGAAGGAGGCATCACTGTGAAGGTCACGTAAGTCCAGGGTACGAGGACTTGTGTCAGGGTCATGGAAGTACAGCATCTCAGAGTCATGCCTCCTGCAATTTCGCACCCCCGATGCCTCTCTGACCTCACCCTAGTCCTGGCCATGCCTCCCACCTTGGAGGCCCCTCACCCCTCCCCAACCAAATGTCAGATACTTTGGGGCTCTTTCACAATCACATGCAGCTCAGTGGTCTTCCTGAAGGTCAGGTTCCCCAGGTGGATACTGCAGGTGTAGCTTCCTCTGTCAGACTCCTTCACTCCTTGCAGCAGGATAGACGCATCATTGCGGGAAGTGTCCCCCACCAGAGTTACACGGTTCTGGAAGCGGCCCCAGTTCTGGGAGTACCCCACAGGGACACTGAGTTTGGGGTAATAACGTAACACAACCTCCTCCTAGAAGGGAAAGGCAACATATGAGCTTGCAAGGACCATCAAAGATGGGGCATGGGGAAGGTGGAGTAGGAGGCTCTTGGGACTCATAGGGACCTGAATGTGTGGGCAGTGAAGGTAGGATCAGACAATATGAGACATCATGAGTCATGCACACACACGCGTGTGTAGCATGTGTAGCTGTGAAGGACATACCAAACCATGAACAACTGTCCCACTGGCAGAAAGGCATGAGGAAGAAAAGGGGACGAGGGGCATTCCCTTTTTGTACTTCACCAGGGAAAGGAAGTAAAGACACACCTTTACTTCTTACGGCATTTCCAGTTGGATTTCCAATAGGCACTTGAAACATGTCTAAAACTAAACTCCAAATTATTCCCCCAAACCAGCTCCTTCCAGTCCATCCCTTTTTGGTAAATGGCAAAGCCTTCTTCTAGATGCTCAGGCTAAAAATCTTGGCGTCATCCTTAATTCCTCTCTTTCTTAAACTCACACTGAAATCCCTCAGCAAATCCTGTCACCCCTACCTTCAAGACAGATCTGAAATCTAGCCATTTCTCACCTCCTCCACGGTTATCATTCTGGTCCAACCCACCCCATCCCTCACCTGAATTCCTGCAAGGAGCTTCCTTACTTGTCCTTACTCCCAACTATAGTTTATTCTCAACAGGTGAGCCCTTAGAAATAGAAGTTAAATCATGTTACTTCTCTACTCCAAACCCTCCAATGGCTCCCCATTTCAACTAAAAGTAGAAGACCCTCCATGATCTGCTCCACTCCATCTTCCTCTTTGATTTCATCTTCTACTTTTTCTTCCCTCACCTATCTGTGTCACTTCACTCCATCCACACTGGCCTTACTGCTTTTCTTGAGTACTGGCCTCAGGGCCTTTGCACTTGCTACTCCCTTTCCCTGTGACACTCTTCCCCCCAGAAATACACATGGTTCCTTCCCTCACTTCCAGCAGATCTCTGCTCAAATGTCATCTTTTCAGGGAGGCCTCTCTGACCATCTATGTAAAAACGAGAACCACAAATGCCTGTTTTTTTGTTCTCCATAGCTCTATTACCTGACATATTACATATTTATTTCTTCATTATTTTACTGTGTATCTCCCTTGATCTTAAGTCTCCCATCAAAGCAGGAGTGCTGAGTGTCTGCCACATTTGTGCTTAAAACACTTGTTAAATGAGTGTTGGAATTTTTAATAAAGAGAAGTAAATATTACTATTTTTAAAAGCTTTTAAGGAAAGGAAATAGGTATACAGACATGAACATGAACAAGAAGACCTGGTCCCTAATATCTTATCTCTTGTGTTTTGAATTCACAGATCAAAATGTCCTTTCTTGACCTATTTTCTGCTGTGACCCACATAGTGGTAGACATCTAAACACATGACAAGCTCCCAGAGGTGGACCTGAGACTACATGTAATTTCCCACACTCCATCACAATGCCACCCTTTCTCACCCACTCAGCATATGGGAATCAAGTGAGTACAAATGACTTTTTTATAGGGATGACTGGGAATATGTTAATAGAAAAGCTACTTTGCACCTTAATTTTTATTAGCAATAAGTGACCTGGGATCTCCCCCACAACACACCTTGACCCATGCACAGAGGACATCGCCATGCACAGAGGACATCCCCCAGTCTAGTGAACTAACTTGCCACTTGCTGCTTCAGAGTTCCCACAAACCATTCCATACCCTGGCCCAGGACCTACTAATCCCAACATCAAAGCACCCATAAAGACAAAGAAAATTCCTTCCATCCCATAAGTGGGGCAGTGGGACACAGAAGAAAACTTATCAAAATAATCCAAATAAAAACAAGAATACAATCATTCTTATGCCTAGCCCAGAGCTTAGAGACAAGGCCACAGAAGCCATCCCCCTCCTTCTACCCTGGACTCTACAAAGGGGGGATGGGAAAAGAGGAAGGAAACTCAAATGCAGTGGCCAAGGCACACACAAATGCTTCACAGGGACGATCTAGCATATGCGTCCCAACAGCCCAACAGGCTGAGCAGCAGCAGCCAGAATATCGTCCTCTTCTTTGTCATCTTCATGAGAGTTATTTTTCCCACCACGGAGTCAAAGCTGCCCAGCCAAGTAGCGCTTCTGACAAGCTCCAAAGCCCATGTCACCTGGAGCCCAAACTCTCCCTCTCCCTACACTGTCCTGACACCGTCGGCCAGGCACTCCACTACATGCTGACGGTTCCTCCTCCTTACCTTGGCGTGCTCTCCTGATGAGAATGTCCAGTCTACCTTGGTCATGCGTTTCTCTTCTGTGCTCTGGAAAACACACCCCAGCTGAGTCGAGTCACCCACGTGAACCATGAGCTCTGGGGATAAAATGGTAACTCAAGTCAAACCCAAGGTAACGTCTATAGAAGTCAAAGAACGTCCACAAGAGCTCATGCTTAGCCAAAGCTCCTCAGCCATAAAATCAATGTCACCACTAAATACTGCACAAATTCACTCCACAGACGAGCTAGATGATCCTGTGTGGACGAAGTAGTAGCCAGAGGTCTCCCACTCACAGGACACCCCATGAGTAAGAGAGTACCCGTAGCTACCCACACTTATCAACTCTGAGGGGTCTTCAAACTACAACAAACACTTTGTGATTCCCTTTAGTTCCCTGCTCCTTCCCCTTTTCTAGAATTTCTCCTAAGGCCCCGCTCCAGTTCAAGCTATGCTAAAGGAAGTACGAAAAATCTTGAAGCCCCCCTTTCTATTCACCAACTTAGACACCCACACCTGCGGAACGTAAACAGGAAGTAGAGAGTTATATAACTTTCATGCTTACGTGTAACCCACCAGCTCTTCTAGCTGAAAAACTGATTCATAGGCGATTTTCTTCAATTTCTTATATTCTTTTTACAAGTTGTCTTAGGACTTGCTTAGGATAGTTTTGGCTACAGTACAGGTCACAGGACTGCTTGCTAATTAGGCCAAGACAATAGACAGTTTTCCTCTTGATTCTTTTTTCTGTTTTAATCCCTGCCCCCACTCCCTCCAGAAGATCCCTCTCCCCCTGCTTCGGGCTTCCCAACTCCTAGGCTCTTCCTTCTGCTTATTTGTATGAGCAGCTGACCCCATCATATGCTTATTACATAAGTCATTTTGAGGGGTTCTTGGAAAAAAAAATTAGCAAGGCATTTCTGGTTTTTCAATAATGTTCTACACAAATCAACCACAAAGTCAGTTGAGAAATGAAAGGCAGGGTGGTATTTAGGGAGACACAAGCCTTAGCAAGTCTTAACTGGACAGAATTCCTTCAAAAGCACATCGGGCAAAGTTCATGAAGGAACAAACAGTGCATAAGCTGACCTTTTCATCGGAACTGTTTCTCTGGGAGAATGTGAACTTCCTGCCCAGCAGGAGAGATGCACGATAGGAGGAAACCAAGAGAAAATATTATGAACTTGAAACTCTATGGAGGGAATCATTTTGAAAGTAATAAAAATTCACTCCAAAGAACATCAGTGGGGGTGAAGTCCCTCTAAATCCAAAAGTACATTAAGAACTGAACTTTATTTTTTAAATGTGGTAATAAGGGCACCTGGGTGGCTCAGTTGGTTAAACATCTGACTCTCGATCTCAGCTCAGGTCTTGATCTCAGGGTCGTGAGTTCAAGCCCCACACTGGGCTCCCCACTGGGAGTGGGCATGGAGTCTACTAAAGAAAAAAAAAAAAAAACAAGGGTGCCTGGGTGGCTCAGTTGGTTAAGCCACTGCCTTTGGCTCACGTCATGATTCTGGAATCCCAGGATCGAGTCCCACATCGGGCTCCTTGCTCAAGGGAGTCTGCTTCTCCCTTTGACCCTCCCCCCTCCCATGTTCTCTCTCATTCTCTCTCTCTCAAGTAAATAAGATCTTTTTTAAAATTACATAAATACATAAATAAATAAAACAAAATAAAATGTAATAATAAACACCAAACGATTCTGCACCTTTCATGGTATCAGGCATGTGTCAGACACCGTGCATGTAGCATGTCAGCTAGTCATTACAGTATTTTGAGATATGCGCTGTTGTTCTCCCATTGTCAGAGGAAGAAGGTGAGAGAGCCCAAGGGCACATGGTCTGTAAAAGGCAGAGCCAGCACATAAACCCAGGCCTGAGGGAAGAAAAGCCCAAGCTCTCACTCACTATTCTGTGCCATCTCACATCAGTGGAAGGAGAGCTGATTCTAGAGCAAAGGTACAGGAAGCTAATATTATTTTTATTTGCAAGAATATTGCCTATAGGGGCATCTGGGTGACTCAGTGGGTTAAGCGTCTACCTTCGGGTCAGGTCATGATCTCAGGGTCTTGGGATGGAGCCCTGCATCCAGCTCCCCACTGAGCAGGCAGTCTTCTCCCTCTCCCTCTCCCTCTCCCTCTGGCCCTCGCCCCCTACTCTGACCCATGCTCTCTATTTCTCTACTCTTTCTCTCAAATAAGTGGAATCTTTAAAAAATTATTTTAAGGGACACCTGGGTGGCTCAGTGGGTTAAAGCCTCTGCCTTCAGCTCAGGTCATGATCCCAGGGTCCTGGGATCGAGCCCCGCATCGGGCTCTCTGCTTCCCTTCCTCTCTCTCTGCCTGCCTCTCTGCCTACTTGTGATCTCTGTCTGCCAAATAAACAAATAAAATCTTTAAAAAAGTTATTTAAAAATTTTTTAAAAGAATACTGCTTATCGTATTTAAAATAAGAACTATGAGAAAAGGAAGTGAAGGAGAAGAAGCATAGAATGATTATAAACTGATGAGTAAACTTTGTAGAAAAAAGTATAGAGGCTTCACATGGGGGAAGACAACCTCCGTCAAGCAAGCTGAACAACTTCCCAGTGGTCACCAGGCACATTTTGAGGAGTTGGCTCTACCCCCTTTCTGGCTAGAAGGAAAAATACAGGTTGCTCCAGGGACTAGTGGGGAAGTTATGTGACTAACCCTAAAATTGCTCTGGACTGTTTCCATGGATTCTCCGATTGTGAAACTGGCTTTCAGTTCATGCCTTCTGTGTCTCTTCAAAGAGAGAACAGCTGCCCATATTGTACACCATGCTTGTGTCTGGGCAAGGCATCAGAAGACAAAGCAGAAAGGAGTAGCCCAAAGATAATCCTTGGAGAAACACCTGATTCCTTTCCTCTTTCTGGAGAAATACAGCTTTGAAAAGCAAAATAAAAATGTCAATCGTAATCAGAGGGGGAGATGAATCATGAGAGACTACAGACTCCAGGAAACAAACAGAGTTTTAGAGGGGCGGGGTTGAGGGGATGGATGAGCCCCATGATGGGTATTAAGGAGGGCACGTATTGCAATGAGCACTGGGTGTTATACGTAAACAATAAATCATGGAACACTACATCAAAAGCTAAGTACTGTAGGGCGACTAACACAACATAATTTTAAAAAAAAAGAAAAGAAAAGAAAAGGGGCACCTGGGTGGCTCAGTGGATTAAAGCCTCTGCCTTCAGCTCAGGTCATGATCCCAGGGTTCTGGGCTCGAGCCCCACATCAGACTCTCTGTTCAGCGGGGAGCCTGCTTCCCTTCCTCTCTGCCTACTTGTGATCTCTGTCTGTCAAATAAATAAATAAAATCTTCAAAAAAAAAAAAAGTAGGAAAAAAAATGTAGGAAAAAGGAGGAGAGAGGCCAGAGGCCACCTTCTACAATTCCTTCTACAATTCCAAATCCAGTTTTTTAGAAACTGGATTCAAGTGAGGGATAGTAATTCAAGAAACTCACTCATTTGCCAAATGTTTATTGATGCTTCCTCTGTGCCAGGCATGGTGTCCAGGGCTGAACAGAGGACAGAGAATACAGACCCACACGAACAGGGAAGACACAACTGGACAGGTGTGAAAAGTGTCACCAACGAGGAGCACCAGGTGCTCCAAAGGAGCTCACTCACAGACCTGACCCAAACAGCTGAGGGAGGGGAGGAGGTCCAGATTTTAGCTCCCTAACTAGACTGCAAGCTTTCCTGAGGCCATGAACTGTTCCCTCAATGCACACTTTCAAAGAATGTAGCTAATTCTTCAGTCTTCAAACTTTTTTTGAAGCAGCAGAATTCTTTCTTTTAAACAAACTCTTAGCTGTCAGCCCAATGAATAAAACAGGAAAAAGAGAAAGGACTTTGGTTGCAGTGGAGGTAAGAGCCTAAGGTCCTACCTGACCCAGTCCTCTATTAACCCCCTGGCCTGTTCTCACCCTCTGTGCAGCCTAACATGTTCAATGAACCTTCAGGCTTCATCAGGGCACAGCTTAAAACCACAGTCTACTAAAGCCACTCCCTCCATTGACAAATGGGAAAATGAAATCCAAAGAAGTTAGAGAGATCTCATCTCTTTTCTTTCCCCAGAACTAACCATAGGAACCTACGAGATATGGACATGGCATCAGTGTGGATAACTGATGGGAAGCACCAGGGTAGAGTAAAAGGAATAGGGACTTTGTTGTCGGAGGTGCCAGGGTTCAAGTACCAGATACACCATTTAATAAATACGTGTGCTTAGGCAAGTCACATCTAAGCCTCTCTAAGCCTCAGTGACTTCATCTGTAAAATGAAAGGATCAATACCTCCTACACAGCATTTTCACGAGGATGGACACATGTAAGGTAATCACAAAATAATCATTCTTAGGGCGCCTGTGTGACTCAGTTGGTTAAGCAACCAACTCTTGATTTTGGCTCAGATCATGATCTCAGGGTTGTGAGATCAAGCTCCATATGGGGCTCAGCGCAGAGTCTGCTTGCCCCTCTCCCTCTGTTCCTCCCCGCACCCCCCTTAAATAAATCAATAAAATCTTTTAAAAATAATAAAATAATCATTCTCATTATTTTTATTTAAAGAGCACCCATTATTGTGGATTCACTCTGTGGTACATATCTGGACCAAAGGCTGGCATACGTTCAACAAAATCTATTCCCTTCCTTCTTTGCACACTAAATCTCTTGCCCCTTCAAACTCCTCCTGCCCATTCACGTACCTTTGGGCTCCTCTGGTAGTACATGCAGCACCACTGCTTTTTTGAACACCAGGCTCTCCTTTTCCAGCCGGATTTCACAGGTATAGGTTCCCTGGTCAGCATCTTCCACATTTTGGAGCAGGAGAGAACCATCATTGCGTAAGATGTCCCCCACCAAACGCACACGATTCTGGAAGCGCCCCACAGGCACACTGAGGTTGGCGTAATAGTACAGCACATAATCCTCCTGGAGGGCAACACAACGTCGGGGAAAATCTAGAGTCACTGGCACCAGACCTAGGAGTCTGGATCCAAAAGACCCTGTTCTGTGCTGGTGGCAGCATCACTACCACCATCATCACCACCACCAGCACCACCGTCATCATTACCATCACCACTACCACCACCATCATCATCACCACCATCATTATCACCACCACCACCACCATCATCATCATCACCATCACCATCATCACTTTCACCACCATTATCACCATCATCATCACCACCATCATCACCACCATCATCATCACCACCACCACTACCATCATTATCATCACCACAACCACCATCACCACCACCATCATCATCACCATCACCATCA